TACGGGTGAATTACTTCATCTCTCATATCTTCAATGCCTCCATTTTACAAATTGGAATACTTTTTGCAGGTTGCAAACTTGTAAAGATTACATTATATAATGCCTGTTATTAGAATGCTTAGCACACCAGGCACATAAGAGGTGCTCAGCCAATGCCGCATTTCATCTATAAATCCTACTTACTTCTAAAGGCTGAAGGCAGTTCCATATAATATCCTCCCTAACTTCTCTCCTTTTTTCCAGTTTCACTCTACCCAATACCACTCAGAGCCTACTTAGTTGTTCTCAAATTGTTTTATATTCTGGCATTTTATGTTCATTCAACAAATATGTAGTGAATGCAAACTATGTTTTCAGACCCTGTACTAAACTCTGCATATAAAATAGTAAAGAAAACAGATGTGTTTCTGCCCTCAAGGAGCTTTCTTTACTATTTTTAAGCAAGAAGCAGATCACATATCAGTAACATACAGATACTTGTACAGTAATAAGTGGTGGTAAATGCTGCGAATGCGAAGACTAGGTTGCAATGTGGACAACTATGTTTGACTGAGATTGTGAAAGACATTCTCCTTGGAGTAATATTTAAGCACAGATGTGAAGGATGAGAAAGAGCCAATCATGTAAGGAAGAAAAAATAACATTTCATAGGGAGAGAACAGGTGTGAACAACTAGAAAAGCCAGCGTGGCTGGAACACAATGAGCAAAATGTCATGGCGTGAGTTGAGGTTGGGAGGTAGGCATGAACCAGACCACACAGAGCCTTTGATGTAGGTTGGACCCTCCCAGAAGCAAGTCCTGAGACAAGTTTGAGCAGCCACAGTTTATTTAGAAGGTATGGCAGTAGGACAGAGGAAAAAGAAAATGAAGCCAGTAAAAGGTGTGTCGTTGAACAGGCCACACCTGCGCCTCAATCCCCCTGAGAAACTCCAAAAGGTAGTATATGTAGAACATGCACCCAGGAGGCCAGGAAACTGGGTTCTTTTGTTTTTCAATGTATAATTTCATTCCTTTTAAAATTGTAATTGTACGTATTTATGGAGTACAATTTGATGTGTCAATGCATGTCTGTGTTGTAAAATGATCAAATCAGGGTATCTAGCATATCCATCACCTTACGCATGTATTATTTCTTTGTGATAAGGGCATTCAGAAGCCCCCCTTCTAGCTATTTCGTAATATATAATACCCTGCTGTTAACCAACTTCGCCCCACTGTGGTTCCTCAGAAAATTAAATATACAACTACCATGTGATCCAGCAATCCCACTGATGGATACATATTCAAAGGAAAGGAAAACAGTATATTGAAGACATATCTATACATCCCTGTTTATTTCAGTGCTATTCACAAAAGCCGAGATATGGAATCAACCTAAGTATCCAACAGCAAATGAATAAAGAAAATGTGGTATATATACACAATGAAATACTATTCACCCATTAAAAAAATGCTGTCATTTGTGACACTATGGATGGACATGAGCTCATTATTAACCAAATCCCTTCACTGTCGGGCATTAACTCTCTGTTACTTACAGCTGGCCCTGTGCAGGATTAGCATATTCATGGCCAGAAAAACAAGCCCAAGAGCAGAAAGTTACAGGTGTACACAGAAAACTGCCTTCAAACGTAGAGATCAATGCTAAGGGGGCCAGGCACGGTGGCTCATGCCTGTAATCCCAGCACTTTGGGAGGCCAAGGCAGGCGGATCACCTGAAGTCAGGAGTTTGAGACCAGCCTGACGAACATATAGTGAAACCCTGTCTCTACCAAAAGTACAAAAATTAGCTGGGCATGGTGGCACATGCCTGTAGTCCCAGCTAGTTGGGAAGTTGAGGCAGGAGAATCGTTTGAACCCATGAGGCAGTGAGCTGAGATCGCACCACTGCACTCCAGCCCGGGCCACCGAGCAAGATCCCACCTCTCAAAAAAAAAAAAAAAAGCTAAGGGGATGGGATGGGGAATGAAAGAAACCTATTGAACACGGTATGCTAATTATAATAGAGAGTCATTGAAGGATTTTAACAGAAGTATGATGCGATGTAGTTCAGGTTGTTAGTTTTGTTTGCCCAGGAACTTTATAAGATCCTTGAGAACAAAGCACATACTTTACATTTCTTTAGCACTAACCACAGCAATGACACAGTGCAGTTTATAGATGGGGTACTGAATAATTGTGTTGACTGTCCAGGAGAAAAAGCATATGATGAATCCAAGTTAACCAAAAACAGACCAAATTAAAACTTTTACCTATAAAAATATTCAGCGTCGCTTCCTCTTTTTTAATTAGAAATTGAGATGGTATCTCATTATGTTGCCTAAGCTGGTCTCAAACTCCTTGGCTCAAATGATCCTCCCATCTGTGCCTCCCGAAGTGCTGGGACTACAGGGACAAGCCACCACTCTCGGCCTATCATCGCTTTCTACTAACTCTCTTAAAGTAGCCAGATGGTGCATGGACCACCTTGGTATCCAGGGAGTTAGCTATTATCTGGACTTTCTAAAACTATTGGTTTTAGAAAGAATTCAACCATTGGATGAGAGAATAAAGCCCGTTTCACTTATTTTGCTTTTTATTTGTCTTTTTTTTTTTTTTCTGAGATGACTCTTGCTCTCTCACCCAGGCTGGAGTGCAGTGGTGTGATCTTGGCTCACTGCGACCACACCTCTTGGGTTCAAGTGATTCTCATGCCTCAGCCTCCTGAGTAGCTGGGAGTACAGGCACCTGCCACCACACCCAGTTAATTTTTGTATTTTTAGTAGAGATAGGGTTTCACCATGTTGGTCAGACTGTCTGGAACTCCTGACCTCAAGTGATCCACCTGCCTCCACCTCCCAAAGTGCTGGGATTACAGGCATGAGCCACTGCGCCTGGCCAAAATTTTATTTTTTATTTTACTTTTTTAGAGATGGGGGTTCTCACTATGTTGCCCAGGTCGGTTTTGAACTCCTGGGCTCAAGTGATCCTCCCATCTCAGCCTCCCAAAGTGCTGGAATTACAGGCGTGAGCCACCATGCCTGGCCCAAGCCTCTCTTACTCTCAGAAGAACAGAGTAATATTGCAGACGAAAGCATTGACTTTGGAGTCCCACCCAGAGCAGACAGGGCTTTGATCCTTAGCAATTATGGGGCCTTGAGCAAGTGACTCAAGTTCATTAATCCTCAGTTTCCTCATCGGTAACATGGACATAGTAACAATGGCATTTACTTCAAAAAGCTTAGTGTAAAGGTTAAATAAAATAATACTCTCTGCCCAGTGTAGAATTAGCATTCATCGTATATTATCATTAATAATATTTTTACTTCACTTAGAGTTATTGTTTATTTTATTTTATTTCATTTTTTTCTTTTTTTGACATTGCCTTTTTCCACATGCTCTAACACTTTAGGTTATTCTGATAGGTTTTCTGGAATACAGCTGTAGATTTACTATGAAGTGTAGGCCAGGACAGCTGTGGTGGCTCACACTTGTAATCCCAGCACTTTGTGAGGCCAAGGCAGGAGGATCACTTGAGCCCGGGAGTTTGAGACTAGCCTAGGCAACATAGTGAGAACCTGTCTCTATTAACAAGAAAAAAAGTTTTGGCTAGACCCAAACTTTGGAGGACCCTCTTGTCTGCCTCCACTTGTTTCTTTAAGCCTATTCTGCGGGTGGAAACATCTTTATTTCCAATAGACAATTCTTTCCAGAAGTAGACTTTCCCCCAGGAAAACCTGTTTGTGGAATGAACAGAAGTGTGTGAGATGCCCCCGTGTGGCCTTCCCACCGTCTGCCTTGCTCTTGTCACTGATGCTGTCTCTGATCCACGTGCTCCCCGGAGACTCCAGACCCAGGCTTGCAGTATCTTCACTGAGCACCTTTACAGGCTGCAGCAAAAGGCCTGACCAGCCGGCACTGGACTGAACCGAGCCGCACTTGAGTATTCGTCTTTTCTCATTTGCATTTTTTCCTGATTTTATTGAGATATGTTCTCTTTGCAGAAATTTGGAAAATGTATTAAAGTTTTTAAAAGCAGGAAAATAAAGCTCTTTAAAAACCACTCTAGGCCGGGCGCGGTGGCTGACGCCTGTAATCCCAGCACTTTGGGAGGCCAAGTGGGGCGGATCACGAGGTCAGGAGATCCAGACCATCCTGGCTAACACGGTGAAACCCCATCTCTACTAAAAATACAAAAAATTAGCCGGGCACGGTGGTGGGCGCCTGTAGTCCCAGCTACTCCGGAGGCTGAGGCAAGAGAATGGCGTGAACCCGGGAGGCGGAGCTTGCAGTGAGCCCAGATCGGGCCACTGCACTCCAGCCTGGGCGACAGTGAGAGACTCTGTCTCAAAATAAAATAATAAAATAAAATAAAATAACCATTCTAGGATATGGTTCTATATTTGTCCAACACGTGTTTAGCTGAATTTTTTTTAAAAAATAACCTTACAATCAAGTGCTTTCATATTGTATCTGAACTAAAACTCTTTACAATGTATTCTCCTGTTTTTCTTGCTCTGGCCTCTATGCAAATAGAAACTGGGGGGTACTATTCTCTGCCTTCGGAGTGTAGATGTTTGTCCACCTTTGTACCTCCATTTCCAGGACACTCAAAAGAGCCGTCTCCCTCAACAGAGGGAGCCAATAGGCTGGCAAGAACAGCAATTCCCAGATCAAAGTCAAAATGACACCACAGCTGGGGTCAGAAGGGCGGGTACAAACCCAGAGCTGGGTAAAGACCAACAGCCGGTTGGTGCCCATGTAAGGTGAGGAGTTGTCAATTCATTCACCTCCTAATGAACTGGCATGCTGGAGGATTTGATGCTGTTGCCTTCTCATGGCAATTATGAATTCAGCTTGCAAAGGCAGCTTCAATTCCCTGACTCACGGGTAGTCTTCCAGCCACAGCCTTGTCTAGTTTGCAACAGACATTCATGCAAATTGAGAGCAGTGAGTGACTTTTTGAGCGAATCTAAATAAAGCTCTCAAACCCAGCAGCTGCAGGAAATGCTCATCTTACCTCACTTGATTAGAACGCTTTTCGGGTTGCTAAGTCAGGAACTTCTAGGAAAGCTGCGGATGGGCTGCTGCTGTTCTACTGAGGGGTTCAAATCAGCTGAGTCCAGGAGTCAGAAAGTGGAAACTGGGGCTTCTCAGCTCCGCATCCTGAAACGAAATGAACATATTACATTTATGTATTAAATAATAAAATTACATATTCTACATTGCTGAGAAATGATGGAGCAGAAGCCGGTGGATGATGTACTTGGGATGCCGAGGAAAGCCTCGTCGGCATTCGCAGGAGGGTGCTGGCAGGTGCCTCCCGATGCCAGTTTCAACTCAGGATTTACAGTGGGAACTGGGATATGCTCTTGGGGCTGCATTCAAACAGGAGAAAGCTCGCTGGGAATTTCCCTGGCCAGGGGACAGATTGACAGAGGAGATGAAGTTGGGACAGATTTCTAGCTGTCATTCTGGCTTATTCCTGCTGACAACAACAACTCCAGGAAGACGTATCTATCTTCGATTTCTAGTGTCTTTCAGACACTCAAAAAGCTCTTCCTTAGTATGAACCCAAGTTTCTCTTATTGTCATTTGACCTCAACTGGTGTTTATTTCCTCTGGACTATAAAATGTCTTGGCACAAGAAAGTTGGTGTAAGATAGTATGGTAAGCATGCTGCCACTGGAATCAGACAAACTTGAGCTTCAGTCTCAGATTCTCCACTTGTTAGCCATGTGACTTCGCCTACTTTACCTGGCCACCCTGCACTTCAGTTTCTTCCTAAGTGAAATAGGCATAACAATAACACATACCTCTTAGAGTTGTTGTGAGGATTAAATGAGATCATAGATGTAATGCTCCACAATTTAGAGGTTAGTAAATATCAGTTATAAATAAAATGTTTTTGAGAAATACACTGGGAAATCAATTAATCAATTAATAAAATAAAATGTTAATAGCAAACATGTATATGGCATTTGCAATGAACCTGGCACTGTAATCCAATTTTTAATGCCAGAGTATGAATTAGATTATTTAGCCCCACCCACCCACCTTTTTTTTTAAGCCAGCCTATAATCTTTATGTGGGTTAGGGTTTGCTTTTGTGTTTTTAAGCCACTTCTTGATTTTGGAAAGTAGAATTTAAAGGAATCTAAGGTTCTTGTCAATTTACTTTAAAAACTAAAAATCACCCTGTACTTGGTCTGTTTCAGAAAAATTATGAAATCCTTTTATCCCTTTTCCTTCTGGTCCAGAAGATAAAGACCAAATCATTGGCTTATTAGGGATGAGATTTTAAAAGCAGCCACTTCCTTACTCCTAGCTTCCACTTCAGTTACACACAAAAACAGGGCCAAGGGTGTGTCTCTTCTCTTCTGCATAAAAACAAGAGCCATCTTCTCCCTCTGAGATTTGACTCCTCTCTCAAGGTCTTCAAGGCCCTTTGGGATCGCTGACAATGCAGTTACTTATTATTTGGCCTATATTTACACATCATAAATGCCAGTTGCAGAGGAACCGTGATGTTATCTGAAGTCAGCTTTGTCCTTTTATGAGCAAACTTTTCCCTGATTTTGACTTGTATGTCCTTCACTTCTATTCACTGCGCCTTTTCTTGCTCCCTCCCCTGCTCTTGACAATACTGAACTGCTTGTAATCCCCTCAAAGGAGGCCATATGCTGTACCTCCTTTGCTCCGGGAAGAGAGGAATTCATTATCCTTCCCCCATGCCCATATTCAGACCCCAGTTGGGTCCACAGGACTCAGCCAGCTTTTCTTTTGTGGAGTTCATACAAGTCACTTTGTCACTCTTTCTGCACCATCCTCAGTTCTCTACCAGCTTCCCTATAATCTCTTATTCAGTGACGGGAAAAATGACTGTCCTCCCTTTTCCCACCATCACCATGCGGAATGCCAGTCATCCATGGCAATAATGCTTCCCATAATCTCGCCTCACATGTTCTTTTCCTTTTCTTCTTATTTCAGAGAACTGCCAAATATCCATCAACTTTCAATCCAGTCCAGCAAAACATATGTGAGTTCAGTAAAGAATTGCTGGCCGGGCGCGGTGGCTCAAGCCTGTAATCCCAGCACTCTGGGAGGCCGAGACGGGTGGATCACGAGGTCAGGAGATCGAGACCATCCTGGCTAACACGGTGAAACCCCGTCTCTACTAAAAAATACAAAAATCTAGCGGGCGAGGTGGCGGGCGCCTGTAGTCCCAGCTACTCGGGACGCTGAGGCAGGAGAATGGCGTAAACCCGGGAGGCAGAGCTTGCAGTGAGCTGAGATCCCAGCCTGGGCGACAGAGCAAGACTCCGTCTCAAAAAAAAAAAAAAAGAATTGCTGACTTACTGACCTGGATTTGAACCTGAAATTTCTCCCTCTGTTTTGTTCCTTGTAACATGCCAGAATGTATCTGTGTTGCTTTTATTGCTTAAAAAAAAAAAAAAAACAATAGCAGTATTATTTCCTTATTGAAAAATAATTCAAATTTGTAGAGAGATGTATAAATGTTAACAATTATGAATTCCTGATGTCCTTAACTCCAGTGCCCTCCACCTGCAACGCACCTCAGTCACTTAGCAAGAACCCTAAAACACAGACTTGCTTATCTTTCACCATGGCTCAAAATTAAAGACGCCACTTCCCCAAATACCCTCTGTGACCATCATCAACTGTCCTTCCTCCTCACTCAGTTGCTTGCCAGTCCTAAAGGCGTTTCTATTTTTATTTTCACCACCAGTCACACTATGATCCTCTATTCTCCTTTTCTATCACATCTGCCAGACTTGGCATATTATTAACCACTTCACAGACATATTCACTACCACCCTAGGATGGCTCCTGTATTCATCATTTATCATACTGCTATAAAGAACTGCCTGAGACTGCATAATTTATAAAGGAAAGAGGTTTAACTGACTCACAGTTCAGCATGGCTGAGGAGGACTCAGGAAACTTACAGTCACGGTGGAAGGTGATGAGGAAGCAAGGCACCTTCTTCACAAGGTGGCAGGAAGGAGAATGAATGCAGGAGGAACTACCAAACTCTTATAAAACCATCTGATCTCCTGAGAACTCACTATCATGACAACAGCACGGGGAAACCACCCCCATGACTCAATTACCTCCACCTGGTCTCTCCCTTAACATGTGGGGATTATGGGGATTACAATTCAAGATAAGACTTTGGGTGGGGACACAGCCAAACCATATCAACTCCATCCTTTTATTTCTCCTGTTCCACCTTGCCAAGTCTGCAGCCTTCAAGAGTGGTTGCAAACTGTTATTGGAAAAAACTGTGAAACTGTTTTAACTGGATCCACCCCGAATCTGTTCTTTGTTGGGTTTACTGATACTCACTGCTTTCCTTTACCTTTAATCAATCCATCATCGCACTTCCCAGCCACTTTTCTATCTCTCTTATTCTGCATGAGGCCCTGATTCTGTTCAGCTCCCCACTCAAAGCAGATGACTTTATTTCCTGTTTGACTGAGCCATATTCTCTCACATTTGATAACTTCAAATTATTTTATTTCCATTTCAACATCTCTGTGTATCTTTCCTCTTTTTCCTCCTCCTCCCTTAAATCTGAGGTTAATCCCTCAGGCATTGCTCCTGATTCAAGTTCCTTCTTCCTCCTTGGAGCTGTGCTCCTCCATTAGTTACCTCACTTCTGTCACATCTTCCATCTTTCCTTCTGAGTTCCTGTCTCAGCTTTTGTCTATATAACCTTCTCTAAGGAAACCCTTACTTAATTCTAAAGTCTCATCATTTTCCAAACTCTCTTCCATTCCCACTATCAGATGCTTTGAAATTATAGTTAAACCAATCACATCCACTAGGTTTGCACCAACACTTCTTACTTAACATCTTCCAATATGTAATTGTCCCTCAGTCTCTCCAACTAAAGTCCTCCTAAGGTCATCAGTGATTTCCGAGTTACTAAGTCTCCCCGCCAATTATTCCCCCAATCAATTCTCTGCTGCAGAACTCACTGCTGACATGGAACATTCTCTCTCTTTACTCCCTACTGCAGCACTGTTTTGATCTCCTCCTGTGATTTAGTCTGTTCTCACATTGCTGATAAAGACATACCCAAGACTGGGAAACTTACAAAAAAAAAAAAAGAAGTTTAATGGACTTACAGTTCCATTAACTGTAATGTGGCTGGGGAGGCCTCACAATCATGGCAGAAGGCAAGGAGGAGCAAGTCACATCTTATAAGGATGGCAGCAGGCAAAGAGAGGGTTTGTGCATGGAAACTCCCCCTTACAAAACCATCAGATCTTGTAAGATTTATTCACTATCACGAGAACAGCAGGGGAAAGACCCACTCCCATGATTCAATTACCTCTCACTGGATCCCTCCCACAACAGGTGGGAATTAAGATGAGATCTGGGTGGAGACACAGGGAAACAATATCATCCTGTCACTCTGATTATTATTTTTTTTTCTGTCTCTGTTACTGGCTATACTGCTTCCTCTCCCTCCTAAATTCAAGTATTAACACGGGGTCTCCCTCTGTCACTCAGGCTGAAGTGCAATGGTGTGTGTGATCATGGCTCACCGCAACCTCAGCCTCCCAGGCTCAAGCAATCCCCCACCTTAGCCTCCTAGTAGCTGGGACTATAGGTGAGTGCCACCACACCCAGCTAATTTTTTGTACTTTTTGTAGTGATGGGGTCTTGCTATGTTGCCCAGGCTGGTCTCAACCTCCTGGGTTCAAGTGATCCACCTGCCTCAGCCTCCCAAAGTGCTGGGATTACAGGTATGAGCCACTGCACCTGGTTCTCAGACTTTCTATCTCTTTATATTCTCTTTTAAATATCGTCAATTTCCATTACTTTGATTATCACTGTGTATGGATGACTCTCAAATCTGAATTGCCAGCACTTATTTTTTCTGAGGACCTGACTTAAATTTTCATTCAGTATCTGAAACCCAAAATATGCCAAACAAGATCTGTCACTTTTTCCCCCAAATCACCAATCCTGCTATCTTCTCTATAACTTCCATATATAAAATGTCATAACGTTTTATACATAATGTGGTATCAGTAGTACAAAAAGTTTTCCCAATCTACCATGACTAGAGTGACCTTTCCTCTTTTGCCTCATATCTTGTCATTTGCCAAATCCAAGGTATTGCAC